TGTCGAAGGCCCCCTATACACGGCACACCCCCTACGCCAATGAAATAGACTTGTGTCCCTGGTACACGAGCCAAATGGCGGCTGGTGGTTGGGCCAAGATTGATGCGGCCATGGTTGAGAAGGCAAAGTCGGAAGAGTTCATCAAGGCTCTAAGGGACTCGCAAGCCCCCATTGATGGTCTCCAGACCTTTGGTTGTGCCATGCTGCATGAGGTAAGTCTTACAGTTGTCCCCTGGTACTCTTTCGTTTCCTTCCTGTTCTATGATTTTTCGATGCCTCATCTCGTCCTCCTTGCTGACCCAGGCTGTGTAATCTAATTAGTTGACGCACACGAATCAAGGCGGGCTGTTGATTGATGATACCACCAACGGTCTCCCAGGCGGGACTCGAGGATGCTATGGTTGGAGATGCGTCCGCGCACTACGCAACGTCAGAAATTCTGGTGAGTTAACGTGGGCCTCCTGTTTGCGTCGTGTCGTTTCATGGTTGATCACTTCGACACTGGTCTTCTCGATGCTGACGATGCTGACGATGCTTGTTATAGATTCCATTAATATGATGGGGATAGCCTTGAAGGTGTGGTCCCTCGGCCACTGGGTCAACGAGAATGGCGAGATCATCTCACTTTGATTGAAGGAAAGTATCTTGTCCCTGCAAGTAATGGAGTGTGATACATGCACGTGCATCTTTGACACCTTGGTTTTGGGCCCTGTTTCATCTTGTATTTTGTTACGCAATGCGGGCTATTTCGGAGGAAAATGTATCATTTACGCGCATCGTCAGAATAATGGGCGTTCCTTATTTGCAGTGCCTGTTGGAGAGCTGGGAGGATGAGATAACACGGTTGCATTTCATTTTTCTCTTTCAAGCTTGTAGCAATCGCTCACTACACAAAGCTCCATTTAAACCGCAGCAGATTGAGTTTCCACCCTGGTCAAACACTGATTGCAGATTGGTATAGTCAAGCAGTTAATATTCAGTCCAGAGGTACCTGCTGCAGGCCGGTGCACGGAGTTGACGGCCACCAATGGGCCAACATGGAAGAGGGCCAACAAGGGGCCAACATGAACGAAGGCCGCTCTTGTCACCCGGAATTCTATTAATAGTCTCGCATGAGATGCCGCCTACAGGATGCTTGTATGTAAATGAATCATGCCCCGGTCAGTATCAATCGCAATATTGAGCTTATCTTGCCTGTCGCAGCGAGTCCATTCACGACAGCCGTGCCCTCATCGCCGCCAACTAAGGTAAGCACAATGGAGTGCTCGGAGCAGAGTCAATTTAAGACCTCTCCTCTCGAGATTCGCTGGGCTGTCCTCGCGTCTATGGGATTTCCTAAAGCTATTCATGTATTCCTCTGGCAAGGGAAAGTTGCCCTTTCAATATGCGTGGAGCCTAGCACGGCCGAAAACTACCTGACAGGCTCGGAACGTAAGCCAGGAGGTTTCTTGGACTTAACGAGTGAGCCGGCTTGGGCACGTCGATTGCAGTCAACTTGGGGTCCGCACTGGCAGTGCGAAGAGATTGCTCAAAAGGCACCAGGATACCAACAGCACCAACTCGACTCGGGGGCCAATTGCGACTCTGATAATCACGCCATTGCTTTTCGTATGCAAGAGACTGTAAGTCTTCGCCCACTTCTGCAGGCTACGTATCTGACTTTGCTAACAAATGCTAACAAAGGCACATAGAGGTCATAGAATACTTGGCGGCAAATGTGGTCATTCATGTTACGAATCTGAACACGCTTGCTCAGAGGGGTCTTCATTCTGCATCCTTATCTTCCCCATACGGGCTACTCTCCGCCATCGGACCGTCACTCATGAAGCTGGATATCACCCTGCGAGTCCCTCTGCTATTCTTACAGGCAATATTTGACGACAACATCACTGAGTCCACATATACTGGGAGCCCCAACACCCGTACAAATAACGGCCCCGAGGCGGCGGCGCAGCATATCGGCAATGAGTGCCATTGGGTGAGGAAGTGGGCAGGACTGTGGCCTGCCCTAGCCTTTCGACTACGGAAATTACGGCACCTACACGTTTGGCTAGATCACGAGGACAGCAGGTCATGGTCCCTTGTCAACGAGTGCGCCGTTCTGTCGTCGTTGGCCAGGTCCTTCCCACTTGACAACATTGCTGGTCTGGAGGGCGTCTCCTTGACTCTCCCCAACCTGCATCCTCTCCATGAGAACCCTGAGATTCATTTCATAGCCTCGAGTCTCAAGATACCGCCATCTATCGCCATAAACAGGAGAATGCGCCCCGTCTACTGGTTCGAAGTGAGCGCTCCGGGGGAGCGCGCCGAAGTGATGCACGTCGCAGACTTTCCGTTCATGGTTCAGTATAGCGGAATTAAGGACCATGGCTGGGAGGATACGAGTCAGGAGGAGATTCAGGAGATAGAGCGGGAATGGTGGCTGACGGGCGAGCTGGGAAACCCATACAGGAGACTTGAGCTGATCGGTCCCCCAGCCTTATGTCGCGTCTGCATTTCTCCCTGAGAAGCCAGCTTTGTAAAGGGAGAGATATTCCATGACCTCTGCCAGAATGGTAGTAATTCATAAAAATACCTTTTGCGTTTAATTAGACGAGAGTTCATGTTTACCTGATGCATCCTCCGAGCAGTCGCCAATTCATCACCCCGCTGAGAGCTGTTGGTCCATTTCCCGAGGCCACCACCTGACACACAGTAATAGAACCAACGGCCAACATGGCTCGGGATATAATGACGGCTTGGGCCAACAAAAACAGGCCAGTCTTGGCATGCGATAATCTATTAATAGAACCACCTGAGAGATAACATCACGTACGTCCTCGCCGGCCTCCACCACCCCAAAAAGGTTTCACAAAACTCCATCTTGCTGCATTCTCGCCAACGCATCACGATAATGTCCCCGCTAAAGAACATCGAGGTTGTCAAGGGAAGCCCCTTCTTTTCATTCCCACTTGAGATTCGTAGGGCCATCTACAGCTCCTTGGAATTCCCAAACGCCATCCACGTATTCCTTCGCAATGGTAAAGTTGCGTTGTCCATCTGCGTCGAGCCCGAGACGGGCGGATACGGCGATAACGGCGCTGAGCGTCGGCCAGAGGGCTGTGACCAAGAAGAGTCTACTACTGAACTGGTGTGGGCACGTCGATTGCAGTCCACTTGGGGTGCCCACTGGCGATGCGACGAGATTGCGCAAGGGATAAGCTCGGATGGCTCTGGGGACAGCCCGGACAGGACGATCATGGCGGTGTTGTCGGTGTGCAAGAGAATGTAAGTTCGGTCTATCTACGTGGCGCTTAATCATAGGCTGCCAGTGCACTAATCCGCATGGTGTTGAATACTGAATTATCCATGTGGTCGCTAACAACTCCTCTTTACCTACCAAGGCGTGCAGAAATATCAGAACTGCTGGCCAGACATACAGTTTTCAACGTCACCGACCTCGAGACGTTGGATGTTCTGGCTCAGGCCCCTCGTGGTTCTGAAATCTTGTCTTCCCCATGCAGTCTCCTGTCCTTCGCCATCCCGTCACTCAGAAAACTGTCGATAACCTTGCGGCTGCGCCTGCCGTTGCTACGGGCGTTAGAGAACGATACCACTGAAACGACTTTTGATGGAGACGCCCCGGCAGCAGACGCCAATCTCATGGCCGAGTGCAGCCGCGTGAGAGCAACATGGTCACGGACTTGGCCACTGCTTGCCCTTCAGCTGAAACAGCTGCGCCATCTCTACATCTGGCTGGACCACGAAGACAAGAGATCTTGGTCCCTTGTTGATGAATGCAAGATCCTTCTGCCAGTGGCTGCATCCATGTCTCCCGCTAGAATTGCGAGCCTCAAGGATGTCACATTCAACCTTCCCAAACTCCATCCCCGATATGAAGATCCCGAGCGTCATTTCACAAAGGGGAGTGCCCAAACACCGGAACTCATCACGATACACAGAAGGCTGCGTCAGAGATATTTTGCCGAGCAGGACGCATCTGGACGTCTTTCGGTCGAGTTCAAACCGGACTTTCCCGTCATGTACGAGGTGAACCATTTGGCTCTACAAGGTCAGCTTTCAATGCCCGATGAGGAATATGAAGAATACGAGCGTGGGCAGTGGGAAAGTGGTGTAGATGTCGAGTTGGAGCTCGAGTTTGAGTTTGAGTCGATACGCAACTGGAATACTTTTGAGCATACCGCATAGATTCGGTTGGTTCGCCAAAGGACTATGGATCTAGGCTGCAGTAGTGCTGCGAAAGTCCACTTTCCAGCAGTGCGGCTGATATCAAATTGGTCTTTACGTCAGCATAATTGTCGTGGTCTTCCGACCAGCGCGGAGCCAAAAAATTAAAGTTGTACGGTTGTATGGCCCTTGGAAGAGGTGAGGTTGAGTGTGGACTCTTAGCAACGTTGAGCTATAGCTAAAAATGCTGTTTTTGTTTTTTTTTGGCCTATCGAGGGTGGCTAGCCAGCAAGACCTTTGGAGAATTAGCCGAATCTATGCGGTATTTCCATGTTTTGAATTTGACTTGTACTCAAGTATCCGTAGATACATGTACTAGGCGGTAAATGCATGATTGTATTTACGTTTGGCCGTCCATCTTTGACCCCTTCGAGCGCGTCAGTCTCTTTTGATAGGAACCTACCTAGTTGCTGTTTTCCTCGGGCTTTTTATGTCGCTCAGTTCTAGTTATCAATCATCCTATTGAATTTGACTACCACTGCGTTGTCAATTGGTACTTGGTCAGGTAGTTATGCTGTGAAGCGAAAGTTTAGGAAATTGCACTTGAGGGCCTCGAGTCAGGTACGAAAAGGGGTTGATAGTAAGGTAAATAACGCTAACGATTGCCGAGAAGCCATGGCCAAACCTTGTTTCATCCCTTTCCGTCCCACTTTAACGAACTAGCAAAAGTGACTGTGGAGCCAGCCATCCCATCCGCATTTCTGTTCCCGGCAGAGTTTTCACCCAGACTCAAAAGTACAGTGCCGCACCCTCGAGTTTGACAAATGTCGCAAGCCCGGCTAGCTCAATCAGTAGAGCGTGAGACTCTTATTACTTCGAGTCCGAAAGTAAAGACTTGTCAATCTCAAGGCTGTGGGTTCGACCCCCACGTCGGGCTCAATTCCCGGCGTCGGATGTCAGAGTCTGATTCCTTTCTTTTGTGTCGTTTTGCAATTCCAAATTGCCGACATGCTTCTGGTTCTTCTTATCTCTTTCCATAATTTTTGTAGACACATAACCGTGCATCATCCTCGGCATATCACGCGTAATTCCTAGTAACAGACGGAATTCCTTGCGAGTCAATACTCCCGCGCACAGTTTCCTCATGACATTGGTGACTTTATTCACTGTTTGTCATCAGGGTCAAGCATCTAATACTAGCTGATACAACTCTCCAAATATTGGTCCCCTCCCTCACACTAGGTCCAGTCACGCCCACGTCTCCATCCTCAGCTCCCAACAGCATCCTCTCCCAAGCTGGATAAACCATTGATGTTTCTGCCGCCAAGGCCGTATCTCAAGTCACGACCCTCGGCTTGCTGCCATACCTCATCCCCGGCTCGCTCACCAATGGAATCTTGACGAGCCCCTTTACCTCCATCCGCTGCCACTGCAGGGCTTTGAGCAAGCCATAAACAACCTTTAGTGTCGGCGTCTGGACGCCGTGACGTTCCGCTTCCCGCAGTGGCTCGCCGACAATGTTTTCGAACTCAATGTAATTACCCTGTTGGAGCAGCGTGAGCACAGCGTGTCGCAAGACCAACTATAAGCATGGAGAACTCACCTTCTCAATGTCCTGACACATACTCGGCTTGAAAAACGCCTCAAAGGTGTCGACGGTGATCATGCGGTCCACCAGCTCCATGGGCAGCTGCACGCCCGCCGCGGCTGCCGCCGTGGCCTGGATCTCCAGCATGATGGGCCGGATCAGGTCATCGATGACGTGCTCCGAGATACGCATGCGTGAGGTGTCCATGCGCAGGATGGTGGCGACGCTGTTGAAGGAGGCGTTGTACAGCAGCTTGCGCCAGCGGGTGAAGCGCACGTCTGGCTCGTAGATTACGTCGATACCCGGACAGCTGCCGTAGATGTCGCTGAAGGTCTTTGCCGCGGCTGCGGATGTGGTGGATGGGATGTTCGGGTTGTCGAAGGCGCCGACGAGGAGTACGTCGTGGTCATCATGCCGGATCGTGCCGGGCTTTTCCTCTGTCGCGCCGATGAAGGATACACCTGAGATTATTGGGTTCGAGGGGAAAGCGGCGATGAGAGGGCGCTCGATGTTAAGCCCGTTCTGCACCAGCGAGATGGCTGTGTGCCCCGGGGAGACGGCGGGTGCGATGATGTCGGCCACGCTGGGGGCCATGTCGGCGATGTTCTTGGTGGCTACTACGATGAAGTCATAAGGCTGGGCGGTGACATCGGTTGCGGTGTTGGGGACAGTGTCGCGAACTGCAATTAGGGGGGTGGGAGTGTCAGTTTGGGACTCGAAGGTTAAGTTGAAGTAGAAGGGGGTGGACTGGCTTACTTGCACTGGGCCGCCAGCCCTGGATGTCTCCGTGGTCCAAGGATTTGATGTCGAAGCCGCTTTGTTGCACGGCTGGAAAGTTGGAGCGCAAGACGGCGGTGACGCTTGCTTTCCCGCCCTTTTCCAGCGCGAAGGCCGCCATGGTGCCCACACCACCTGATCCTACGACCAGAACATTGGCCTTGGCTGGGGTAATGGAACTCATATTACGAGAGGGGGATATGCTCGGCGGTCCGGTGATAAATGAAGATCTAAACCCAAATGACAGGCGAGGGGGTGGTTGCTGAAGAGGAATGTACTGTGCTCGCACTGCACCGCGAAGCCGTGAATGGCGAGCGAAATGATGAGCCATCTTCGAAGTGAGGGCCAGACCCGGATAATATACTCGCGGAATGCGTAGACAAATTGGTTGAAAAATTCACAAAGAAGAGTTTTTTTGTCACACTGTCGTGGGATTGTGGGAATTGACAATGGCACTGCTACTGGCTGTGAGTATGTTGACATTCACGATAAGGCGGTGATGCGACGTAATGAGGAGGTTTGGGAGCTTGGCATACACCTCCCTGCTGCGCCCACTGGAAGGGATCAAAATCCCCGCTGTTGGGTGCTGGCTGATAAGAAATAATTAGAATTGGGCGATCGGTGTAACACGACGCTGGATCGGGTGTTAGCGCGCTGGGTGATATGACCAGGTTTCCTGTAACAGCACTTGTGATAAATGCACGTGGTATTTCACCCAATATTTGACCCTCGTTTGTTAGGAGCGCCAGTGAGTTCAAGAGATAGCAATGAGCAAGAATCGTAAGATAAAGAAGAGACTACAGAACACCAACGCCTATACCCTGGGGGTGGACCGCGCACCTGGATCGACCTTGTGAAGATGAACCATTTACGATCTGCGTGTTAGTCAGAGTTGCATTTGGCCATGGAATGATAACTTGTCATTCTCAGTTGCCCGGTTATCACCCATGGGGCTCTACACATGACTTCTTGATCTAGGTACCAGGTAGATATAGGGTTTCAACCTAATGCCGGTCACGTCCGTTTGAGAATTGGTGACGGCCTACGGCTAATTATGACTAACCGATTTGATTTGTGCTGTAGAGAAAATTGAACACCCATTGCACATGATACAGCAAAAGAGATGAAGAAGATTGAGGCCCATCTCAACACCCTATATTCGGTAATAAATCACCAGGTACCTAGGCATTGGAGAACTAGATATGGAACTAAGCTCACCAGCATCAGTGAGTTACTACTACCTAATTTACATTATCAATCCTCAAGCCAGCGTCCAATTGACTATGATACATAAAAAGACCTAAGCGACAATCCGAACAGCGTTCATCATCATCTTGGACTCAGCAAACATTACCCTCCTCCCCTGCCCTCCATTCCTATCCCCGAGGTACCTGGGTAGGTACATGTAATGATACATCCCACGAATGCCAAAAAGCCTGTGCCCAGAAACCTCCTTACATCTTCCCCTTGGAATCCCCCTCCACCGGCGTAGGCAACTCGACTTTGCGCGGCGCCTGCCGGCCATCAATCTCCGCCACCGGCGCCGGCGGTCGTGGGGGCGGTGCCCGCGAGAGCCATCCTGGAGCAGCCGGGGTACTGGTCTGCCACGGTTCCGACTCCGCCGGCGACTGCCTCCACGCGTCGTTGCTGCCAGGCCGGTAACGCCCATCACTAGCGGCAGACAGGTTCCCGAACGAAGTCATCGGGTGGTGGGTATGCAACCCCGACGCGGCGGCGGATGCGCGCTGCCTGATGATCAGGACCGCGATGGCGCACAGTGTGAGCAGGATGGGAACTCCAACGCCTAAGCCTACGCCGAGGGCGATTTTTAGTGCGTTTGTGGAGTCGTCGCTGGTCGACGCGGCATTGCTGTTTGTATTTGAGGGCGTGGGCGTGGTAGTCATGGTCACCACCACGACGTTGCCTCGGACGATGGTGCCCGTGGGTATGGCTGTGAAGGACGCGCTCTGACAGCATGCTTGCGCGTCGGGACCACAACAGTATTTGATGCTCGTGCTGCCGTCGAAGCTCTTTGCGCATGGGATGAGCGCGATCTCGAAGATTTCATTCTTGGCGAGCTCTGTACGTGGGGACACAAACATCAGGAACATATCCATAGTGACGGTAAAGGGGATAGAGGGGGCTTACGGTCTTTCGCCGGGCAGTACTGCTTGCATGGACTCCCCCATTTTGGATCAGTGCACCCTTGCTGCATCATCAGGTTGGTGCCGGCGCTGAGGCAGAGCCCGTTGGAGAGGCAGTAGTCGTCCTTCTTGCAGCACCCCCCCGCGTCTCCGTTCTCTGTTGAGCATGGAATGTGGTCAGGGTTTGCGTGGCCCCATGTGTCGTAGCAGGTCGAATTGGCGTTCACCGACAGCAGTTGTCGACTGAATATTAGCGCTCCCATTGCTATTATCATTGATCTCGACATCGGGAAAGAGTAAATTAGCATTAAGCAGGGCCAGCCGGCGCGTCGAAAGCGAAGAACGCGACAAGGAGAATCAAGAAACACGAATTGACAACGCGATGAATCAAAGAGCGCGGGACAACATCGAGGCAAGAAGGGGGTAGTACCAATCTTGAGGACCATTATGTTGAGATGAGCTGCGGCGCGGTTGCTGTTGTTCCATTCGCGGCGGGCTATTGGTGGCTGCATCAGCCTGCCAGTTGACGGCGTGGACGCCGATTGCGACCCTCGGGATCCCGAAACATTGAAGGTTTAGACGATCAGTCCTTCGTGGAGGGGCGTAATCGGGAAGGCCGCCGTTGGGATTGAGACGTTGTCCACGTCCTGGGAGCTGAAGTGCGAGACTGCTGTGCACTGTTAGTAAGATGAATGCCTCTGCCTTTGATTGAGATTTGGAATGCAGAAGAGTATGATGGTATATATGAACACGAGCACCTACTCTTACTGAAGTCCATTGATAGGGTGGGCTCTCGGTGGACGTCAATGGCAAAGGGGATAGGATTGAAAGACGTTGAATGCGTGCGAATGAACTTAAAGTTTTGATTCAGCATGTGCCTTCGTCTGCAGCGGAGCAAACATTCGGACACGTTTTGGTCCCCCGCGCGCCCAGAACCGTTGGCCGCTGTGCCTCTCGCACGTCATGGCGTTGAAACATCAATGTAGGGTGAGCTCGGCGGCGGGAGGTGGCGAGAACGGGGGTCCATTCAGGGGTTTATTTACTTTCTTTTATTCCATGTCAAAAATTTATCGATGGCCCGGCAATATCATGCCGTTCAGTTGCAACTCATCATGATTCAACCTTTTAATCGATATTCAGGTGTTTTGTTGATGACTGCAAGAGTTAGGGCTGCAGCGGAGACTAATTACAACGACGCGGCGTCGCCGAGGCTGGCGGATGTCACGATGCGGCCGCTCCGGCTCTCGTTGTTCGGATCGAATGGCAGTGCGCTTGACAAGAGACTGTTGCGCCGACGACGGTTGGTCGGTGTCTGGTTGAGCCGATTGGAAGGGTATGTCCACTAGGGCATTTCTAATTACGTGTTAGGGGCTTGATGCTTATCGCCGATGTGCCTGAGGTGGTGTGATCTCTCCCGAGGGTTAACGC